GTGTGTGTGTGTGTGTGTGTGTGTGTGTGTGTGAAAGGAAGCGAAGAGCTTCTCTCATTTCAAATACAATAATAAGTTTCAATACGAGAACTCAGGGAACATCTAAATTACCTGGTTTCTTTGTAGAAAACGCCGGCTAAACCGACGCCTAAAGCTGCTACACCGGCTGCAAAAAAAGCTGCATCATCTTCCAGTTCAGACTCTGAAGATGAGCCCGCTGCAAAGGTTCGACTTGCTATATGCTACAGTTTTCCATTTTTTACAACTTCTTTGTAGAAAACGCCAGCAAAACCAGCTCCGCAAGTTGCTACGCCGGCTGCAAAGAAAGCGGCATCATCATCGAGCAGTTCTGATTCAGAAGATGAACCTGCAGTGAAGGTTGGCATGTTGCTTGCTTTTTTATTCCCTTTTTATAGCAGCTTCTCTTCAGAAGACGCCTGCTAAGCCAGCTCCAAAAGTTGCTACGCCGGCTGCAAAGAAAGCTGCGTCATCATCGAGTAGTTCTGATTCAGAAGACGAATCCGCAGCAAAGGTTCGTCGTGCTAAATTTTCTTTATTTGCCATTCTCACAAAATCTCTGCAGAAAACGCCAGCTAAGCCAGCTCCTAAAGTTGCTACGCCAGCTGCAAAGAAAGCTGCGTCATCATCGAGTAGTTCTGATTCAGAAGATGAAACTACAGTGAAGGTTTGTCGTGCTGTTCATTTGTATGCCTTTTTAATTTTCCATTCTTATCTCTTTCTTTGCAGAAAACGCCAGCTAAGCCCATTTCGAAGACCCCTGCGCAAACAGTAAAGAGAGCAGCGTCATCGTCAAGTAGCTCCGATTCTGAAGATGAAGGGACGTCCAAGGTTTCTGTTGCGCTATTGAAGCTTCTTTTGTATCGTGAGAAAAACCAGTTGCATCGCCCAGATGTCGACGGCGCTCCTCCTACCATGTCATGACCCAGCTTCGCCATGCGCTCTTCCTTTAGGAGAGCTAGAATGCGCAAAATAGACCAAATGGTCGCAGAGCCTTTTTTGAAGAAAATACAAAACTTGAAAATAGATCTACATCAGCAATCTTCTCGCTAATTCATGACTTGTAACCGGGAGGAGGCTGCAGCATTCAATTAATACCGTAGTTGTGATATGAGAATGGATTAAAGTTGAGGCACATCGGAAGAGCAGTGAAATATACAGCGCTTTGCTATCTCACATTTTGAAAACAGGGGTGGGGGGCAGCAAATTATATTAGGTTGTTCGAAAAGTCCTGCGACACTTTGATTGAACTATTCTAGAAAAAGACCAAAAATCATTTTGAATGTTTTTATCTCTGATTAGTGGAGACTGTCTCCTGGGGTTTCTGAAAATGGGTATATCATGGCTCCGTGGAAGTTTTCAAAGCTTAAAAATACCTCAGAGATCGAGGTACTTCTCGACCTATCCCATATTATGAGTTCCTGTAGGGCAACTCCGCCATAGTCGAGGAAGCTAACACTTACGTTGTCTTGAGGAAGGATATCGCTTGCCATAGCAGAGAGTTCCTTTTGCATCAGCGCTTCCAGGCTGGACTTATTCAACTCGGAAGTAGGCAATGTATAGGTCGGCCACCAGCACAGAATGACGGCCCTTTACTCAAGCTTCTTGAGGCGCAGCCGAACGTAACCACCAGTAAGTTGGCAACCTCTCTAGGCTCCACCTAACTGACAACTGCCATGCTTCTCCGCAGTCTCGGTTATCGGAAAAATTTTTTATGAAGGATGCCTCATGAGTTGAACCCCTCTGACAAGTCATACCGAATGACCGTTTTTTTTCCTTGTACACACTGGAGGAACATTTGTGAGATCTTGTGGTTGGTAGAGAGTGGTGGGGTCCTTGCGTACATCTTGCACATGTTCCTCGCAGGATCTCTCAAACAGAAAAGTAGATTGCACAGCCAAAAGCAGATGTGCATGGGATAAAGATTTCAGTAGGTTATTGGTGGGACTTCAAAGCGGTATCTCTGGATACTAGCATAACGGTAAGGACTACAGTCCACTCTAACCAACCTCACAACATGGATGACGTCACGCTTGAATTCTTCAAAAATACTCAATTTTTCTCTACCGCTCGGCAATGCGAAGACCGCATGTTAGGATCAGGCCACACCAAAAGATCGTGGATCTTGATCTGAGAATGCGACCATACCCAGCTTATTCATCAAAGTTAGCAGTCTCTAACTACTACCTTTTTTGATCCCTACCGCATCCTTAAGAAGGCAAAAATTCCGAAAATCGACGTCTA